GCCCGGGAGAGCTGGGGGGCCGGAGGGGCCGTGACCCCGCTCATTCCCGGCCGAAAGCTTTCCGGGTGTGCTGGGACCAGCCTGCCCGTGCCGCTGCGGGACGTCCCTGTCCCCGCTCGCCCCTCGTCGCTTCCCCGCATTGTGTCCCCCGTCCGGCCCCGCATCCTGTCTCGGCAGATGGGCTCCGGCCCCGACCCCGGCCGGCTGCGGCCCCCGCGCCTCGTGTCCCAGCCGGGGCACCCCAAGGGCACAGGCTGCCGCCGGGATGGGTTGTGAAACGGCCCCGCCGGATCATGAGGGTTCCTGGCGTGGCGTGGGAAAAGCCAGCATCTCCCGCAGCGAGCTGGGTGGGCAGGGCCCCCCCCGACGGGAACGGGTGTGGGCGCAGAATGCGCACAAGCGCGTGTTGCACCGTCAGCGGGGTGGGGGGGTCGTGCACCCCACGTCCCCTCATCTGCTCCGACCATGGTCAGCCAGTCCCCAGGGCTGCCTTACCCCCCCATCCCAGTTTGGGGAGCGAGGACCGGCCATGCTGCAGCCTCCTTGCTCCCAGTCCCATGGGATGCAGGAGGACAGGCGTCCCGCACCCCGGGGGCAGCTCCGCAGCATGGGGGTCCTGGGCAGGGAGGGGCCGTGAGCCAGATGAGCTGCGGTGCCGCAGCCCCCGACGGGCAGAGGGAGCCTGCTCCTTATGGCCGCGGGAGGAGCGGCACAAAGCTGGATGGCTCGTGCTAAGGCCATCCCATGAGCAAAGAGTCGGATAAGCAGGGCTGGGCCATGACGGCCATTGCACGGGGCCCTGGCTGGGAGCTTTCTGAATTCATCTTGGATTTAGCAAATGGCTGTGGCTGGAGGAAAAGGGAAGGAACTGGGCCGGGGGCTTCACCGGCAGCATTTTCCTTTGGAAATGCATCTCCTGTAAAACATGAGCTGATGCTTTTTACTTTGAAGGCTGCCAGGAGCATCTGAGAAGGGCAGGCGGCGCTGGGGCTGCTGTGAGGCGAGTTTCTCTTTTGCTTTTGTTTGGCTCTTGTTTGGCCAAGCATCCGCTCAACGCCACGCACAAGCGGGCTCCCGAATTTCTCGGTTTCCATCAAAGCAGTATCGACGTCACCGCATTTTTGGCTGATCGGTGATGAGGGGCTCAGTGGGGTGGGGAGCCTGCGGGGGCCAGCGGGGGCCATGCTGCCTGGGGAGGGCAGCTGGAGGCAGGCGCTGCGCTGCAGAGGTTACACAAGAGCCCCGCTCTGATGATGCTCCCAAAACCACAGATGATCTAATCTCCTGCAGCCTAACCTATCGCTGCCATATCACATTTCCCCTCAAAACCTAATCCTGCAGAGAGCACCCAACGCCGACCCGGCCCTGCCGGCAGCACCCTCGCGGGAGGACCGACGGGCAACTGCCCGGTAACACCGGCAGCCCCCCAGGCAGCCGGCCGGCAGGGCTGGGACCACAGGCACCGGGTGAACGGGACCTGCTTCCCCGCCTCGGGAGGGCTTTTTCAGCCTGGGCAGCTCCAGGGCTGCCGCAGCCAGCAGAGCCCTTGCTCCTTCTGACCCCAGCCCCATGCGGCGCCAAGCCCCAGAGCAGGATGGTGGCCTGGGAGCTGCTCTGTGCCCACCACCTGGAGATGCCAGCCTTGTCTGGTGGACTATTGCAGCCTTGGCATGAATCTCACTACAGCAAACCCCGCTCCCTGGGGCCGGGTTCTGGGTGCTAATTGACTAATTGCACTCTGCGAGAGAGGGGAGAAAGAAGAGAAAGGCAGAAGGAGAGCCCTGGCACGGCGCTTCCTTCCCCCTCCCCATCACAAGTGGCTCGAGCTCTGCCACCACACGTGCCTCTTTCATCACCACGGCTAACGCAGGCAGGGAGCTCCGGTTCCTGCCCGCCAGCCCCTCCAAGCCCGGCGGGTGCTGGAGCGCTGTGGTCTGTGCCTGCCAGAGGGGCTGCCACCAGGTAGCATCCCGGGATGCTCTCAGCATCACCCGGGCGTGGGGCTGGAGAAGCACCCGGCTTTGGCTCTGGGCTGTCCAGGCAGCGGGGTCCGGCAGGACTCGAGTACATCCCCCGTGGCCCCGCTGGTGGCCGGGATGGCGCCTGGCTTCGCCAGCACATGGGGTGCCAGGGCGTGCTCCAGCCTGCACACTGCCACACTGCCGACCGCCCAGCGCACGGGGGCCTTGCGGTGGATGTGAGCAGGCGTGTTTCGGGGCACAGCTGCCTCCGCGCCAGGCCAGCACCAGCCCAGCATGGCCGAGGTCTCCGTTGGGAGCTGAAGGCGCTATGGGGAGATAAAGGTTTAATGAGGGGTTGTTCGGCTCTCTCTGATCCTTCCGCCCATTATCTAATCAGAGCAGGGCATTTAAAAGGCCACAGTGCAGGGTGAGTCACTTCCCCGGTCAGTGCCTCAGTTTCCCCACAGGTAGCACGCCAGGGATGAGCTGAGCCTGTCTCCCTGCAGCGTGTCTCGGCGCTGGGGAATGCGGCACAGTGGGTCTGGCCCAGGGCTGGACTCCTCCGGCTGCTCTTCGCTCTGCACTGGCTCACCCCGACCCTGGGCACAGCATCTCCCTCCATCCCCCCAGCTGGGGAAGGAGTGCAGGGCGGCACCTCTCCGGCCGGCATCCCTGAGCAGCCAGGGAGGGTCCGGCAGGAGGGAGGGCGAGAGCCAGCCCTGCCCAGGGGTGCTGGGACATCCCGATGCCCAAGCGCCCAGCAGCATGGGACACGGGTCAGGAGCACCCGCACCTCCACACGCGGCAGCTTCGCCTCCACCCGGCCGCTGCAGCCCGTCCCCATGGCAGTGCCGGTGCTGGTAGCATGCGGGGTCCGGCTCTCCTCGCCAGGATTTCCTGCCGCTGTTCCCAGAATAGGCTGTGGCCCCACATCCGTGGGGGAGCGGGTGACCCCACACAGCCGTCGGAAGGGAACCAACCCCACTGTCCCAAGCAGCGCCAGGACCCGGGGTCAGGCACGGGGTGAGGTGACAGCACCGGCATCCCACGTCCGGGGCCACGTGGCGGGACTCATGGCGGTGGCCCCTGCCCCGGCCAGCCCTCACCGGTGCAGGGAGGGCCGGGCAGGCGGCTCCATCACCGTAAACAGGAACTGCAGCCGGGGGGAGAGCGCAGCCCGGCCGGGAAGTGAGGGGGTGCGTGCGCCCATGACGGGATGTGTGTGAACGACGCGAGCCAGCATCTGGCCCGGCCGGGGGAGAGCGTGGGTGGGGGTGCAGCACCCACCTGGGCGAGCGTGCAAGGGTGTGAGCGTGCGCACACGCACGAGAGCGTGTGCGCCGGTGTCTGTGTGCAGAGTGAGCACGCACGTGTGTGTGCAAGTGTGCATGTGCCCGTTTGGGGCGGTGGCGCCCGAGGGGTTGCACACGCGTGTGCAGGGATGAGGCCAGGAGGAAGCATCTCCTCTCATCCCCAGCCCGCCCTGGGTCGGGTTTTCCTGTGGCACAACCCACCCGTGGGGATCCTTTTCCTCCTCCTTCCGGCTTCAGCTGCTTCGGTGGGTGCCAGGCCCGGCAGAGGGGCAGGGGTGGCGCTGGGCAGTGGGGCCATGTGCGAGCGTGCCCACGCGCCCGTTTCTGCACTGTCCCGCGCCCCACACTGTGCCAGAGGTGCTGTGGGGACGCCAGCTGCCCTGCCGACCCCCGACCCCCGTCCCCCTCTGGCAGCAGCCCCGAGCCCCCCCAAGGCAGTGATGGGGAGGCCGGGCAGAGGGGTGCCCGCGGCTCCGGGCTGGCACCGTGCCCCCCGGCCGGGTGAGTCTCCCGCATTCCTGACACGGCTCCAAGTGGAGCAGTGGGCAGGCACGGGGCGGGGATGCCGCCACGCTGAGTGTGCGCCCGTGTGTCAGCGCGTGGGGCAGTCCGGCAGGACACGCTGCCCCACGCCCCCCCCGTTGGCCACCCCATGCTGGGCCCCGGGGCCCCGTGCCGGCATCGCCCCCAGCCCTTGGCACAGGTTTGGGTTCTGCAGGATCCATCCCACACGGAGCCCCAGCTCTGCCTCTGCCCTTTGTACAGGCAGGATTTGGCAGATGCCCCATGGGCAGCAGGGTCGGGCACCCGTGGGTGGACTCGCTGCCTGTCGGTGCCCCCCGTCAGCTAGCCATGCCCTGTGGGACCCCCCGGGTGGGGGCACCGAGCTCTCCCCAGCCACGGGGCAGGGTTAAGGGTCGGGTGCTGAGGATGCTGCACCCCAACTCTGCACCCCAAAGTGGGGTAGCCAGACTACACCCTCCACAATGCATTGCAGGACACACTGGTCCCACCCACTGTGGGGTGGCCACGGTGCATTATGGGGTGGGTAGTCCCAGGGGTGCCCAGGCTGTGGGGCCACCTGGGGCAGGGGTCTGATGGGGTCCCGGGGTCTGTGGCGATGGCACCGCTGCCTCTGCTCGGCTCCTGCGGAGACCTTGCCCATGGCGGCAATGCTCCCCTTCTCCGGGCAATGCCAGTGGGGCAGCCTCTGCTCCCGCGCCCGGGGCGCAGATGGGGTGAAGTGAGGGCAGGGGCAGCTTTTGGGCGAGGGGGGAGCTGTGGCTGCGGGGCTGAGGGGATCAGACCCCGGGACGGTGGCAGAGGCATGGTGCGGTGCGGGCAGTGCTGGCTGGCTCACAGCCGGGGCAGCCTCAGCTCCGCTCTCGCCCAGGCTGGACAACAAACCACTCCAGCCAGCCCCCGTGGTGGGAGCCAGGGAATGGGATGGGATGGGATGGGATGGGATGGGATGGGATGGGATGGGATGGGATGGGAAGGGGGGGATTTACTTCCCCCTGATTTATGAGCCCAGGTCACCCCAGGAGTGAGGTTCATGATGTACCTGAGGAGGCTACCAAAATCCCAGGTCCTTCCCCTCCCCAGGGCTGGCAACTTGCTTAAGCATTTATAATAATAATAATGGTAATAACAATAATAATAACAACAACAACAACAAGCTGAGTTGTCATCTGACTCCTGGAGCTGGTGATTTAAAGCAAACCAAGAAATGTCACGGCGTCTGAGAGACAACCGCGCAGTGCTGAGCTGAGACCAGGGCTGGGTCCAGCTGGAGCCCCAGCCTGGCTGGGAAGGGACTTTCCATGGGAAGGAAGAGGTGCAGGGTGTCAGGGCTCCGGTTCTTCTTGGCCACAGCGGGTGGGGGTCCATGCCCCAGGTGCCCCTTCCCACCCCGGCAGGGGCCGGACACCCACGTTTCCAGGGCTCCCCAGGAGCAGGAGCCGGGTCCTGCCCCGCTGGGGGGGTCTCAGCCCCTGGCCCATGCCCAGGGGAGGGTCCTGTCTGTGGGCATGAGCTGACAGCATGTGCCCGCCGTGCTGATGCAACCGCCAGGACCTCTCCTGACCCGCGATTTCTGCGATTGCCACATCGCGTCCGGCAATCGGCGTGGGGCCGGCGCTGGGCTCCTGCACAGGCTGGGGCGCAGGAGGGGGCTCGGGGGGGGACAGGAGCTGCGGTGGCAGAAGGGCAGCGGCGGAGCTGGTGCCCGGGGCACAACTGGACGTGGATGGTGCCAGGATCTGGGGTTCCCTGTGCCTGTCCCAGCGTGGCTCTGGGCTGAAGCCTGGGCAGGGAGCGAGGCAGGGGAGATGCCCCCAGCCCCGCAGGGGCTTCAGCCGCTGCCAGAGCTCCGGCTGCGTGCTGGCCCAGGGACGCCAAGCAGGGCTAGGGCCAGCTGGCTGCCCGTGCCCGGCCCTGGGCGCAGCCGTGCCAACCTGCCCATGTGCTCTGGCTGGCGAGGGGGGAGAGTCAAATCTCCGCTCCCGCCCGGCTGGGGGCTGCTGGCCACGGGCCGGCAGCGTCAGGGGCTGGCAGGGAGGCAGCGGAGCCGAGGGCAGGGAGCTGCTCACCCTGCGTCAGCAGGGACGGAGAGCTCAACGTCCCGAAGGGGACCGTGAGCTCAGGGAGCCGAGAATAGCCCTGGCCTCACCGTGGGCAGCGGGGTCGCGGCCCGGCACAGCCAAGTATGGCCCCACACCTAGGCCTGTGGTGCTGCTATATCCAGAGGGATTCGCCATCCTTCCCAGGGCCGGGGCCAGGCTGCGGGTGGAAGCCTCTGCGGTGACTCCTCCTGCCCCAGCCCCGCACGTCACGGCCGGGAACTGCCTCATCCCAGGGTCCGGCGAGAGCCATCCAGCCCTGCGCTCTGCTGGGATCCCGACTGCCCACGGGGCTTGGCTGGGGTGCCCGGCCCCCCGACGTCTGGATGGCTGCCTGAGTCACTCCAGGGGTGACTTCATCTCTGGGGTTTGCCTGGCCTCAGCCAGGCCCGAGGCCACGGTGATGGGCAGAGCCCCCGGGGGGGTGTGGGGTGCCCCAGAGCCAGGGCACGTCAGGCGAGGCCAGGCTGGGCCACCGGCTCCGACTGCATTGGGCCGGCAGCCGGGGTGCCCCAGGCCGCGACGCCCGGACGCGCTGCCAAGGACCAGCAGGACACGTCCCCGAGAGCCGCAAAACACACGGAGCCGATTGTGTGTCTCTAAGGACACGCCTGGGTGTTTACAGCCCCGCCAGCGTCACCGGCACAAGGCACCGCCGTTCTGCCCAAGGACACCCCGCGCCCGCCACGAGTCAGCCCTGAGCCTGGCGGGATGGGGGGTCTCCGGCCGCAGGGGTTCATGCCTGGGTCTGTGCCGGGAGGTTGGGGATTGCCGGCTCCTTACTCACAGCAGCAAGCGATGGCTCACCTGAGCGCGCCGGGGCAACGTGAGTCACCGCTCGCCACCGTGACTAAGGCTGAGCCGCTCGGCCCCGCGGGGCTCGGGGGAAGAGGAGGGGGAGCCGGGACCCCCACCCGGCGGCCCTGTGCCTCCCCCACCACAGCGGTGCCGGCGGTGCCAGGCGGGCGGAGGTGAAGCGGTTCGGCTGCACCCTCCTGCCGGGGTGTGCCCCGTGCAAGCCCTGCCGCTGGCCCCGCGCCCGTGGGAACGCTCCCACTCGCTGCCGGCAGCTCCATGGCGAGGCCCCGGCCGGGCACCGCACAGCTGGGACCCGCTGACTGTGCCGTGCCCACCGGCGTTGGCCCCTTCGCGGCTGCGCCAGCTCTGCTCCCCGTGGGAAGGGGATCGCTCCCCTCCCTGAGCTGGGGGTCTGGAGAAGTCGTGGAGGAAAAGGGCCCCCCAGGCTGCAGCCCGACGCCTTCTGCAGCCACGGGAGCGAGAAACCCAAAGCCCCTTCTTGCCTCCTCTCCCCTCTCCCCATCTCTGCCCGAGCCCGGCAGCAGCTCTGCCCTAATCCCGTGACCTCGCGCCTGCGAGGGGAATGCAGAGACTTGTGATAAAAATCCCCCTTTGCCAAAGCTGTGAAATCAGCCAGGAATTCAGTCCAAAAGGAAAAAAATAAAGAGAGAAAAGAGAAAAGCTGCTGCCCCGGGGCTGGTGGGGGATTTCCCCAAAGGAGGGCTGGGAATTCCCTTCCTTCGAGGGACAGGACTTCCAAGAACCAGCCCCTGAAAGATTCAGGGCTCCCAGCTGAAGCCAGGGCCAGCGGGACGGGGCAGCACCGAGGAAGGCAGAGGAGCCGACACCACGGTCCTGCCCCGAGCCTGCCCTTACACCAGGACGTGCACACCGGCCAGGCCCCGTGGGAAGCGTCCCCACCGGACCCCGGGTAAGCCCCTCTCCTCCGCCCCGGCGCCCGCACTGTCCGCCCTGGTGCGTGTGAGCCGCCGCGGGGGCTAATCCGCAGGGCCCAGGTTAGCTAAGCGGATTGCGGGAGCTGCGTGTGGCCTGCAGCGGGATTTGTGTAGGTATTTGCTCGTCGGATCGTCTCTCCCCAAGCTGCTCAGCCGTGCGGGGTTTGGAGAACGCTCCCTCTGGAGACGGCAGGAGCCTCTGATGCCGCACAGCAATTATGCCCAAGTCTGACTGTAATCTTTAACGATTTATTCCCAGGGCAACACAATAAACTAAACACACAAAACCTGGGCTGCTGGGAATCCTGGGATCTCCCAGCTTGTGTCTCTGGAGGCTCTGGATACCTTCAACCATACTGAAATCCGCACATGCTTCCTAAAGCACCAGCTCCCGGAGTCACGGGACTGCCAGAGGAGACGAGCTTCCTCCCAGGAAGGAGATGGAGCCGTGCAGGGAGGGTGGCGAGCAGGAACGGGGCTCCTCGGGGCTGCAAGGACGTGGGGAGATGCCCTGCCCTTGGGGCACGCCACACTTTGCCAATGGACCCGAGCGGGCCACACTCCCAGCCAGCGCTGGAGCAGCTGCCCCATGACCGTGACATCCCCTTGTCCCTCCCTGCAGATCCGGGCTGCGAGCGAGGGGCTGGCAGCCGGGCCCTACTCCCCGAGGAGGTGGCTCTGGGCTGACGCCTCATTCCCCACCGCAGCTCCTCCCGGTGCACAAGCCCGAAACGTGGCAGGGCCAAACACAGCAAGTTGGGGACGTGGCCCCCGGAGGGGCGGCTTCACAGGCCCGGGGCTCCGCAGCTCCCGGGGAGAACAATGGCGCGTCCCTGCCCCGGCCCCTCTCCCAGGGACAACAATGGCAGGAGCCGGAGCCGGAGCTGCCTGAGCTCATCTCCCCCCTGAGAGCCCGGAGGGGGCTGGGGCAGGCGGGGGGCCACGGGCTGCGCCACAAAGGCTCCCTCCCAGCCCAGCTCTGCTCCTTGCGCATGGAGGGGCCTCGCTCCCACCCCAGCGCGGCTCTGCAGCGATCTCCGCCAAGCCCAGGGGAGGCCATTCGGGAAGGAAAACAGCGGCAGGGTTTTGGGACTACAGAGAGCTCCCCCGGCTCCCCCCGGGCCCCCTTCCTTGCTGCCCCGTGGGTCGGGGATGCGCGGCCCCTTCCTCGCTGCAGACTGTCCGCCAGATCCCCCCTCCAGCTGCTTTGTCTCTCGGTGTGCCAGGGCATTGTCTGCGAGGGAGAGATCCGGCGGAGTCAGCCTGAGGTCAAGCAGCATCTCCCCAGCACCCTCCCTGCGGCAGGCCGGGGTGGCCACTGGCCCCACGGACCCTGTCCTGGGGGGAAACGGGCCTGTGGCTTCCGTTCCAGGGCACCGGGGCATCACCCCCCAGCACCAGTGATACGACAGCCCGCTTCTCCTCTGCTCCAAAAAAATTCTGTGGGCTTGAATCCTCATCCTGGCTGTGAAGTAGGTGGTTGGGCAGAGGGAATCCCTGGGGGAGGGATGGCCCAACCTCACTATTAGACATCAGAGAGTCTCCACCGGGAGCTGCTTTGAAGCTCGGCTTCCCAGGAGAGCTCAGCCCATCGGTTCCCTGCGCACAGGCTGACTTTGACCCCGGTGACGGGGCACCGGGACGGGGAGAAGTGTCCGGACTGTCCCCTCCCCACCGCCCGCGGGGGCGGGTCCCCCCTGCCCTGCCCGCCCGCGGATGCCGCGGCCCCGTGTGCAGCGCCGAGCGCTTGTGAGCAGCGGGGACAGAGCCGAGACCGGGACCCCCGGAGGGGGCAGAGCCGGGATACCGGGAGTGGGCCGAGACCCCCCAGGAGGGGCCGAGACCGGGAGCAGGGGGACTCCGAGCCGGGACCCCGGGAGGAGG